ATCAGAGAAGCCTAAATGTACTTGTCAACCAGGGGCAGCATGTGAATGTAAAGAAGGAAAAGAAGGTTGCCGATGTCTCATATGTCAGTGCCAGCCTGGTGCCCTGTGCAAATGTAAAAACGGAAAGCCATCCTGTCTTTGCGAACCGGATAAACTGTGTCGCTGTGAAGCTGGAAAGGAAGGATGCAAATGTCCACTTGATGTTGTTTGCAATTGTAAACCACCTTGCACCTGCGAATCAGGGACGGCTTGCCAATGCCCGCAAGGTAAACAAGGATGCAAATGTCATATATGCACCTGCGAACCAGGTTCAGTGTGTAGATGTAAAGGTGGAAAACCAATCTGTAAGTGTGATCCGAAAGCAATTTGCAGCTGCCAAGCAGGAAAAGAAGGTTGTCAATGCAAAGTTGATGCAGCTTGCCAATGTAAGGTTTTATGTTCTTGTGAGCCGAACACGGTTTGTCAATGTCAACCGGGCAAAGAAGGATGCCAATGTTTGCCCCCTCCTGAAGAGCATGCCCATGAGTGCACATGCAAACCTGGGGAGCCTTGTACTTGCAACACTGAAGCGGAAAAGCCTAAATGTACTTGTCAACCGGGGGCCCCCTGTGAGTGCAAAGAGGGTAAAGAAGGATGCAAATGTCTCATTTGTCAGTGTCAACCTGGAGCTCTCTGCAAATGTAGAAATGGGAAAACGGCATGTCTATGCGAGCCTGACAAGCTCTGTCGCTGTCAAGCTGGAAAGGAAGGATGCAAATGTGTATTGGACGCCATCTGTAACTGCAAACCGCAATGTAGTTGCGAGCCCGGAACGGCTTGTCAATGTACTGAGGGCAAGGAAGGTTGCAAATGTCATATATGCACTTGCGAACCGGGCAAAGTGTGTAAATGTAAAGGTGGCAAACCAACTTGTAAATGTGATCCGAAAGCAATCTGCAGCTGCCAGGCAGGAAAGGAAGGATGCCAATGTAAACTTGACTGTGTTTGTCAATGTAAAGTCCTATGTACATGTGAGCCAGGTACAATTTGTCAATGTAAAGGAGATAAAGAAGGATGTGAATGTCCAATATGTTTGTGTCGACCAGGCACTATATGTGCATGTAGGGGTGGTAAACCACCATGCCTATGCGATCCTACCACCACGTGCCAGTGTAAAGCAGGAAAAGAAGGATGTAAATGTACTCCCGACATAGTGTGCAAGTGCAAATTTGGCCAATCCGGTGATGACAAAAAGGTTTGTTGAAATTTTATTCAATCAAAAGTTGCTCCACACTCACAATAAGATTGTGCCCTCATTTTAACACCTACTTAAGTGTTTGTAGGGTAACTCGTTCGGGTAGTTATCTATACCTTTGAATCAACATGTTTGCCATTCGCACTCTCATCATCAGCGTATCGAGAGGCAAACGTTGTCCAAGAATTACCATTTGATGATTATATCTAAGATCATATCCGTGAAACTCTTTGCTGCATGGTATTTTGTGTACTTAAACGTTCGCACTTTTTCAAATGAGTGAATTTCGAATATTCGTTAGTAGTGAAAAAATATTCATACGAATGAGTAATATTGGACTAACCATTTAAGATATACTCGAACCAGGAAAATTCGAATAGTAAGGATCCTAAATATTTACTACTCGAATTTTCGAATAGTTGGACATGACTGATTACTGGAATATTCGAATCAGAACAAGTGCAATTTGAAATGGACTACTTGATTGTGCAAATAATCGAACCATTCAAATATTTCAACCAAAAATAAATAATCGATCCCAATCATATTCGATGTTTCACAGATATTTGAACCATCGAATATCGAATCCCAGCTTCAAAACTAAAACAACTACAATAATGCTTTTGAATACGACTATTCGAAAACTGAATAAATACGTTTTTGGTCTTGATTATCGTATATACAATTGATCAAAACGTTCGAAGATATTATTCGAATATCATTCGGTCTCAACATAGTATCTCGCGTGTTAAGAATTGAATAACTCTATACGACACTTCAGGTTACTTGCGGCTTTCACAATTTTGAATGTGAATGAGGGCTCCAGTCGATTGGCAAATTGGAAACGGCTTTATGCAATTATTTTTCTTAACAACGGCCAATTTCTTGTTTCATGACAGAGTTCTTCAATAACCTTTTTCTTAAAAACAAGGCTAAGCTTCGGACCTAGATGATTTTTTTT